TATATTTGTGGTTTTAAGTACCAAAAACCATACGAATATAGTTTTACATCTCCTCTCTCTGAGCCTGATTGGCTGATTTCTGAGTGATGCACGACACAGGTTGTATGTTAAAACTGTCACAAATGTATCGCTACTTGTAAAATGATATGACATTCAAAATGACAAAGGATATAACAGTTTTCAACCATACCATATTCCAGTTTGGGTAATAACGCAACAATAAAATTAAAATAACACTAACACTGGTTGAAAGCAACCCCTTGTCTCATGTGGTGTTGGGTTTTGGTTATTATAACCAACCAAGTTTGCAGTATGATGGAAAAAAACATGTTTCAGAGATATTCTTCATCGATATAACCTTCTAATCTATTATTTATCTCATTAACACTCACTGCATCATAACCCCATCCTAACAGCTGCTATTTCCACACAACAGCACTGAACCTACCCTTTGCATACATTCACTTTTGATCAGTTTCTAGCTAATGTACTCAGCAGATGAATTTAACATTACTCTCTCTCAGTCTCATTCTATCTCTCTTGCTCTTAATGCCCTCCCCTCCCTTTTCCCTTTGCTTCATTCCTATTTTGGTTGTGAGTCTGTGGCACCGCAGCAAGCTCAGCTTTGTCCTCTTTAGTCCCTTGAATGGGCTCAGCCACTTTATAGAGCTCGCACTGTGGCCCTCCACTCAATGAAAGTGACATGAAAAGAGGCTGCGGAGCTTTGTACTATGAAGATCAGTTATTGGTCCTCTGCAAGGAAAGCTACCCGTCTGATCACATAGGCTTTCATGATCCTCAATATGGCCATGTAAGGGCTGATCCTTTATTGTTTGAACGTGCCACAAATTTTGCTTATACAATGTTGGGTTAGTACAAGTAAATATATATCGAAGGAAAACATGCCAGAGACACAGTTTTGATCTCAAGAGGCTCATTTAAGATGAAAGGGTTAAAACTGAATGTGTAATGATGACGGTTAAAGGGTTTGATGTGCTTTGCAAGAATGTGAATGTTGCACAGAGAGAAAGATAAAGATGTGTTTCATGATCAGTTTAGCATATTTTGAGGCAAAAACTGTGTTACATTACTCCAAAAGTAAAACAGCTTTTAACCATATTTACTAAAAAAAGTGAATGTGCATCCTCTACTCTTATGCACACATTAGAACATGTTGAAATAAACAGCTGGTGGTGCTAATTCTCCAGTCCTGTGCCATTAAATTACCTCAGAAGAAGTCTCCCACTATTTTTTTTTTGCAATATGTCATTTGCAATAACATTTTGATGTTACAATTTTCTGTAGTTTTTGAGAACATCAATGAATTAACAGTTTATAAACAATATGATTTCTTAGACAATAACATTTACCTCTAAATTAGATTAGAGGTCGACTATATTACAAGCAATCATAGAGCATGAGGTTTATAGACAAAAATATAATCACATTTTATTTTATTATGGCCCAACTCATAGAGGACGAAGTCAAATCAAAAGATTGAAAAATAAATATGTAAAAACAAACATTGTGTTTCCATGGTGTTAGTGAAACCAAACTCCCACCAGTGGTGCTTGAATCAATGAAAAATACTTGATTTCAGACATTAGTGCATTAGTAATCACTGTCAAACTAAATGCATCAATGAATTGCTTGATTGGTTCAGCAGGGCTTGTGGCTGGTCATACTCACATAATGCTAAGAGCCTGTGGGTGTATATTTGTTTGACTCACAAGGCTCACAACGGATCATTTACACTGTTTAGCATGTCATTACGATGTTTTTAGCCCACACTGACTTGTATGCTCTTTCTCTCAGGACAAACTGTCAATGGCAATATATTCATTATTTTCTACTTAATCTCTAAAATTAAGTAAAACACTGGGTGGAGATGCTGTATTGGTAATCCAGCATATGGCAATGTACTGTGTCGTACTCTATATGTGGCAAAACTTAATGTTTGGCAATGTTGAACATTTCCAAATGTTGTTGTAGTCTTCAAACAAGGCAGAAATCAAGCCACATAAAATGTAATCAGTCTCTGGCCGGTACTTACATGAAGCAGTTGCCTGTAAACAGGACCATACATGGACTGCAGCTCCAGGGAATGAGCTAACTGTATCATTATGATCAAGGCGTCAAAAATCTGGAGTTATAGTTAATAACCTTAACCCCATCCCCAGCACCTAAACTGATTGTTGGACAGATTACATTTAATTTTGGGCTGATTAGAGTGCTGCTCAACTGAAAAAGTGAAGTTAGAGAAATGCTTGAGTAACTATTCATTCATCTCTTTAAGGGTAAAGGGTCAAGTGACATAAAACATTATTGGTATTGGTTATTAAGTAAAGCTGTTCACATTTAATTTCACTGTACATTACATTTGAATGTAGTACTTATGGGTGGCAGTAGCTCAGTGTTCAGGGACTTGGCTTGGGAACTGGAAGGTTGCCGGTTCAAATCCCA